AGCTCCAATTTGTACGGTCCGACTTTGCACATGCACAGTAAGGATCAAGGAGTCCTGATCCGTAACTATCTTTTTATTTTTCGTTTTTGTCTACATTATATTGAAATGTTTCATTATTGGAAACATTTTAAGAGATACTTATTATTCTTAACATCTTAACAGATACTCTGACCCGTAACTATCGTAAAACGCTTCGACCGGAAGTAGACACCTTTCGCGCATGCGGGGTACCGATCGGGTTTCCGGTACGGATCGGGTAGCGACACCTAGGCTAGCACATTTGGTGTGTGCTAAGCTAGGCTAGCACATTCGGTGTGTGCTAAGCTAGGGTAGCACATTCGGTGTGTGCTAAGCTAGGCTAGCACATTCGGTGTGTGCTAAGCTATGCTAACACTTGCAGGTATAAAATTTGGTAATTGTTTGGTTTTCTGGGTGACTGTGATGATGAGTGTGATCTTCCGTGATGAAGGTGTTTCCTCTCTCCTCTTCCTCCTGTAGTGCTGATAGAGATGCAGGACGAAGAGTTCAGACAGAAGAGCTCCCCAGGTCAGCACACACTCACACACACCAGAATACACAGAGGGAGGCCATCAGGGCAGAGGTAAACAGGGACATGGGGTTTCAGTCTGTGTGCAGAGCTTTGGTTACCATGAGCGTTTCAGCAGGATAAAAGCAAGTCACATTTCCAACTTTGTTTACATGCAGTGGCGTCTTGTTGGGCATTATGACGTGAGGGGCTGTATTGCCACCTGCAGGTCGTGTTTGTGACAACATTTTAGTTTTGTTTTAGTTGTTTGGTTTTTGTTGTCCAGACATCATGTGAACTAGTTTGAGGTCTCTGGTTGTAATGACATGTTGGGTCCCACGGGTTCTGCAGTCCCGTGTGTGTGTGGTCAATTACATCCATTCTGTTTGTTGCCGTTTTAGAGGCCAGCCTTCCTGGAGAAGACATGGCTGATGACAACAAGAGCTGCCACTGTGAGTTTGTCCCTCAGGACCTGACCCCAGCGTTAAAGGTTACCATTAGAGCCATCTGGTACGAACAGTTTCCTGCAAATATTCGTTTTTCTGCCACCATTCATCGCTTTGCTCACCCTTTATTTGCTGTTTATTCTGCACTGAATCATGTTTTTTATTCACATTACTTTTATTTCTTTTTTTGTATTTTTTTTTCAATTTCTACTCACCCCAGGGTCAAAGGTCCCCATCAGCTGTTGGGTAAGAGCAGTCAGTCTGACCTCAGTTAGCTTCATTGCTTTATGTTGTTTCACTGTGTTCTGTTGTGTTATAAAAGCACCTCTGCTAAGACATTATAATTATTATTGTTATTATCATTTCTCATGTGTTTTTTGTTGGTGCATTCAGGCATATCAGTTATCTGAAGTTTCAGGTCTTGCCTCAGCAGCTCTCCAGCAGTCCAGCTGTCTGGTTCTGGAATCTGGATCAGAACTAAATTCTGAGACATGCAGCAGCTCCAGTAGAAATAAAACCTCCTCAAAGAGAACCAGCTTCCCTCAGGACGTACGCTGAATGTCCAGAAGTGTTGGCTGTCCTTAGTTTGCTGTATGCTGTATGCTACCCCCCTCAGCTCACTTCAGAGCAGAGACTAAGAAACAGCATGTAAACAAACAAGCTGTGGGCTAGCTTCCATGTTTGTTTTGATCCTGGAGCATGTGGGAATGGAGGGGCCCTACCTCCGGGACTTCCATGACCCACCGTCTACAAGGCACACTACACCCGCTATAACCTCACCTCCTAAAACCCCCAGAATAAAACCAACATTGTAGTAAGATATAGAAATATCATGGAGCAGCATGGTGGTTAGGATTGTTGCCTCACAGCAAGAAGGTCCTGACTTCAATTCCACCATCAGGCCGGGGTCTGTCTGTGTGGAGTTTGCATGTTCTTCCCGTGTTTGTGTGGGTTCTCCCACAGTCCAAAGACATGCAGTTAGTGGGGATAGGTTAATTGGAAACTAAATTGCCCATAGGTGTGAATGCAGGAGTGAACGTGAGTGCGAATGGTTGTCTGTCTCTGTGTGTTAGCCCTGCGACAGACTGGCGACCTGACCGGGGTATCCCCGCCTCTCGCCCTAAGACAGCTGGGATAGGCTCCTGAAAAGGATAAACGGAAGCGAATGGATGGATGGAATATATAAATGTCTACAAAGTGTGATAAAAGGATGAACACAATGTGGCCTACCCTAACGTTACTGTTCTATCCCAGGTATCGCTGACGTTTTTAAAGATAACCCTTCAAAGTTCTGGTTGACTCGACTGTCAGAGAACGAAACAGTCTTTGCCTGCTCTTTGTAGATTTGATCTGGTCTTCATCTTTGGGCCAAGCTGAAACCATGTTTCTCCATTGTGGTGACCCTGAGCCCAGAGCTTATCAGCAGGACTGTGAGCCACAATTTTCAGGACTGAAGCAGAGATATGGACCATTCCTTATCTCCATTCCACAGACTGTAGATGGATGTGGTCAAGACTTGATTGACCTCATTAGCAATCCAGGCACTCATGCCAAAGCATGCCGGTAAACAGCGTGCAACTCAAACTAGTCACCAGGACTTGGATAAAGAAACCACACAGCACCCTGTACAGAAAAGCCTCAGAATATCTTCTAAGTATTCAGAGTCGGTTTTTTTGATTTCAGACAAGTCTGTGTGGTGTGACTGCTGGCTGTCTTGTTTCCTCTCTTAGCATCATGCGCTTCATGGTATCCAAGAGGAAGTTTAAGGAAAGTCTTCGTCCCTACGATGTCATGGATGTGATTGAACAGTATTCAGCCGGACACCTGGACATGCTCGCCCGTATCAAGAACCTCCAGTCTAGGTAAAACTGCGTGAGGTAAGACTTTATGAGGTTTTGAATGGCTTGACTCACTCTGTCTCCTGACTGGCAGGGTGGATCAGATCGTTGGCAGAGGAACACCAATTGCAGATAAGGATCGTCCCAAAGCAGCCAGTGAGGAGCTACCTGAAGACCCGAGCATGATGGGACGTCTGGGGAAGGTGGAGAAGCAGGTAACCAACAGACTATAAAGAGTTCACCTGGTGGCTTTTCTGCTATGGTTTCAGACATGAGTCTGTTTTGCTGGTGTTTTCTCACTTAGGTCCTGTCCATGGAGAGAAAGCTCGACTTTTTGGTTAATATCTATATCCAGCGAATGGGAATCCCTCAGGCTGAGACCGACGCCTACTTTGGATCCAAGGAGCCAGACCCAGCACCACCCTATCACAGTCCAGTGGATCAGCTGGAGAAGAGCCAATCCATCGCCAAGATCGTGCAGTCAGTGTCTTTTTATTCGTTCATCATGTCATTAATGTAAATGAAAATACAAGTAAAGGGTAGCGTCATCAAAGTCACAGTAGTGATGAGAAAAATATAATAAATATTTCCCAATTTTAATCTAACTTGAACCTGACCTAAAGGCCCGACCATCCAATTCACTTAAATTCAATTTATTTATACAGCGCCAAATCACAACAGCAGTCGCCTCAAGGTGCTTTATATTGTACAGTAGATCCTACAATACAGAGAAAAACCCAACAATCATATGACCCCCTATGAGCAGCACTTTGGTGACAGTGGGAAGGAAAAACTCCCTTTTAACAGGAAGAAACCTCCAGCAGAACCAGGCTCAGGGAGGGGCGGGGCCATCTGCTGTGATTGGTTGGGGAGAGAAAAGGAAGACAGGATAAAGACATGCTGTGGAAGAGAGACAGAGGTTAATAACAGATATGATTCAATGCAGAGAGGTCTGTTAATACATAGTGAGTGAGAAAGGTGACTGGAAAGGAAAAACTCAATGCATCATGGGAATCCCCGGCAGCCTACTTCTATTGCAGCATAACTAAGGGAGGATTCAGGGTCACCTGGTCCAGCCCTAACTATATGCTTTAGCAAAAAGGAATCTGTTATCTTCCACTTGACCTCAGGCTGTTCATAAACAACTTCCTTTTGATAATCTCAGAACTTCCTGTTGATAAATGGCGGTTACTTACTAATGTGTTTACATCTTGCACAGAGGGTTGCCAGGTGAACATGTGGAGAAGGCTCGGGTTGTGACGAAGATGGTTCGCTCCAGCAGTTCCACCGGACACAGGAACTACAATGCCCCCACATGTCCTCCCTCCACCTCCTGGCAGCCCATCAGCTCCCAGCTCCACCAGCAGGCTCCGCCCCCTCCTCATTGTAGCCAGGGTAATACTCCAAGTCCGGTGGGGGATGGGTCACTGGTTCGACTGCCCCCTCCTCCATCTGGGGAGAGACACAGTGGGAACCGATCGAGCCGTCACAGCACCGGAGACCGAGGGGGGGCGGAGAAACAGGAGAGGGCAGGAGAGGGGTCCAATGGGATGGGAGGAGGAGGCGAGGAGGGGAAGCCTGACAGTGACACCTCTATCTCCATTCCATCGGTGGACCACGAGGCGCTGGAGCGTTCTTTCAGTGGCTTCTCCATCTCCCAGTCCAGAGACAACCTGGACTTCCTCAACAATGGATTCTACTCCTCCAACAACCTGGGAGATCGCCATGGTGGGGGAGGAGCTGCCTGCTGCACCGCCGTCCGGTCCTACATCGCTGAGGGGGAGTCAGACTCCGACTCCGAGCTCTGTGCCCCGTCGCCACACTCGGACCGGGCCTGGACTGGAACCAAATGAAGCTGCGAGAAATCCAGAGTCACAACCAGCAGAACATTTAAAGTATTCATCAAAATGTGAATAAAAAGTAAACATGAAGATTTAAACCACCAGCTGGAGGCTCACAGCAAAGGATTATTATGTACAGAGCTCAGCGGCCGCGCCCATGATGGTACGATTTACGTGACAGATTCTGCACAGCAAACATCTGTCCACACTGTCACCAACTGGCAGACTGCTGGGACACGCTTTCACCTGATTGGTTGCTTGTTTCTATGTATAAAATAATGCTATCACATAATCTCAGCTCACCAATACATTTGTTAATCGTTTAAACAAAGAAAAGTTGGAAAGATGTTTGTTTATCTACTTCCTGTCCAAAATTTAGGAAGTAGATCCGGATGCAGGGTTTTAACTTTCAGGTGAACCACGAGCTTTCAGGTAACTTTGGCTATGTATGGGATCTGTATCTTATTCTGCTTTCTAGAGGCTGCAGCAGTATCAATGAACTCTGTTTATATGTTTTTTAATATTCTGGTTATTTAACTGTTGAAAGATTTTGAATTATATTACTTTATTATCTTTATTCAACTGTGATAATTGTTTAGCTTATTTAAATTGTAGTAATGCCTGTACATAGCGTGTCAGCAAATTCTTTAGCTGGAACAAAGTGATCACATGAGGAAGTTGCTCAAGTTTAGACAACACCCACATGTATTGTTTTAACCCACTACAAGATCGTTAATCAACTTATCCATCTTCGTCTTGCAAGGCTGCATCCTGTGCAGCCTCGTATGCAAACACCAGATAAGAAGTTGTTTTTTCCTAACTTGTACTCCACCCATGAGTGTTACGTGAGTATATAATAAAGTCTGACCAGATGCCTGGGCGCATTCCTGCACAGGATTTGCCCATGTACATGAATTAACTCTGGGCCCGTGATTCTTTGCTTTCCTGAGGTTTTTCTCCTTACATTTCTTGGTCCTCCGAGTCGGAGTTGGAAAAAGCAACTCGATTGTTGTGACTCCAAACCAGAGATCTACCTGTATCCTGTCGTCATGGGGACCCCGCACCGAAGGTTTTTTTGACACCCTCCTCCATGGAAGGAGTGGCCGGTGTTCTTATCAGTGGTCCACGACGCTGGGATCCAGTGAAAGACCTCAAACATAGACGGAGAGATCTTGGAAGGTAAAGAATCCACTCAATCACACTCGCGTAAAACGAAAGGGTTTGACAGTCTAATCCACTGTACGGATTTCTAAAAATACGTGTAATAAGGTT